GCTATGCTCTCTGAGGGCTGGTTTTCTCCTCAGTTCATGCCTTCCAACTTTTCATGAAAAGTTAAGTCTGCTCAGACAATTGATCTAAGTGATTTAAATGCCTTTTATACTTCAATTAAATTGTGTTTTGGCTAATTACCTCATGTTTTTATAGATATTTAATAATAAGTCTGTCATGCTGGTACCACAATGATAGTATTCTATTTCTGGAAGAACTAGCAGTACTTTGGTATACTGCATATATATCTCAGGTTAGACTAAGCATTTGATGAAAAACCTGTATAATGCCTCACCAAGCAACTAGCCAAAATGGAATATGAGTTTCTGCCATGTAGCAAAAACCAGTTGACATGTTTACAAACTGAATTTAAATAAAAATACTTCTTCTGGCAAAGTCATTGTTCATAAAACTAATCATCTGAAAAAAATAATTGAAATACTTATTTATAATAACATTTCCACACTAGCTGACTAGAGATAATGGTCAGATTGAAATAAAATTGCTTTAAGAAAAGATCCTGAACTCTCTGTTCTGAGCCATTAAGACACTTTGTTTCTTATCTCCCAGACATTCAGCACCTATTACAAATTTGGTAAATAGCACAAATGGATATATTTTAGGGAAGAATATTGGTGTACAAGACAAGGAAACCACAACTTGGAAGTTGAGAAATTTATTTTTAACATGCTGTTTTAAATATGTGTAAAGGTTCTTTGAATGGCAATAGAGTAATACCTTGGTTTGCGAGCAAAATTTGTTCTGGAAACAAGCTACTCGTATTGCAAGACATCGCTCGTTTACCATGTTAATATGTATCAGAAATGGTTGCCTGTTTTGCAGAACACTCGTAAACTCGTAAACCACGTTACTCGCAATCCAAGGTTTTACTGTACTTTTTTTTTCAGGGAGCTTCACAACAAATTTTGTATCATAGAATTTTAGTTGGTTCCTTCCATCAGGTTTGGGCATACATATTTTATTTATTCATTTACACATACCTTACCTTGTTCCAAAACACAATTTAGAGCAGCACAAATCCCATGGTAGAGCGTAAGAGCTATTAGAGAATAAAACAAACTAGGGTACATTCCATATAATTTGGGCTCTCATGT